ACCACGCCCCACACCGATACATACTCAGGCCCTGCACTTCCTGATGTTCCTTTCTCGACTGAGCCAAGTCCTACCTACAACTTCTTCCATCGTGCTCCCTTCTCATCACGCGTGGTCCACCAGATCCACTTCAAGATCATTACCCACTCCAACAATACCAGGGAGTTATTCATCGAAGAGATCCCCATGTCGGGGCTCTCCAAATGTCGTGATCCCGAGCACTACTTTTATGGTCTTTCGGGCAATTGGGAGTGGTCCCTGCGCACTGCGGATTATTGGCGCCATTACTTTGAAATTCCTGTAGTACATGGGCACCATCCTTTTCACAATGTTCCCATTGAGACCACTTCTCCTACGGAGGCAACCCGCTTAACTACGAAGATCCAGGAGCTGGCCAAACAACTTTCAGCCACTTTGACGGCCGCTATGGCATCTGGGGAAATCAACGACACGTGGAGGATGGTTGAAGGCATGAGCTTCCGTGACGCGATCCAAATTCTTCAACTCGAAGCGAATTTCCCTTCTGAGTGAATGACCGCGGCTATGTACACTAGCACCGTGTAGCCTTATTGGATTTGATTGGTTTTGCCGACATCAGCCGCGATGTTCTTCCAAAATAATCAAACCCCGCTACATGCGGGGTGTGTGTGTGTAACATCTGAACAGATGTAAAACTTCTTTTGTTCAACTCTTCTCACATTTGCAGGGGGACACAGCATTTCACTGGGACTGTGTCCAACGAAGCTACCAGTGAAATGGGATATCCAGCTTGGCCAGCTGGACGTACCTGCATCAGGTTGTGTTTTCGGGATGGGATGTGGATAACCCAAGAACCACCTTGCCGTTTTATTTGACATGTCCTTTTACTGCATTGTTGTCGCAATCTGGAATCAATTTTGAGATTTACATGCATCAGAACCTTCCTCAGTTTTTCGCCGAAACCTTGTCGCCGACGATACTTTTGGGTTTTTTGGATTATTTCGCCGACATGTCGCCGATGTATTTGGACTATTGTATCAACACTACGATCGCCGATTCCTTTTTGATGATGAATTTGGACATGGAAACCATTCAGGAGAACTTCCATTACTCGTAAAGTGCATCGTTTTTTCGTTGTTTCGCATCTAATCTGCATGTTTCAGGATTCAGTTCCTGCCGGATCATATAATGATCCATTCTTGTCTAGTGTGTGTGTATGTATGTATGTATGTATGTAATGTATGTATGTATGTAAGTAAGTATGTGGTATGGTATGGTATGGTATGTTATGGTATGTTGTGTTATGTAATGTAATGCAATGTAATGTAATGTAATGTTTTGTAATGTAATGTAATGTAATTTAGCTATGTAATGTATGTAATGTATGTAATGTCTGTAATTAAAGTATGTATGTAATTAATGTATGTATGGGATTAATGTATGTAATGTATGTAATGTATGTATGTAATGTATGTAATGTATGTATGTAATGTATGTAATGTATGTTTTGTATGTTATGTATGTTTTGTATGTTATGCATGTTGTGTATGTTATGTATGTAATGTATGCAATGTATCTTATGTATGTAATGTATCTTATGTATGTTATGTATGTAATGTATGTAATTAAGAAATGTATGTAATGTATGTAATGTATGTTATGTATGTAATGTGTGTAATGTATGTAATGTATGTAATGTATGTAATTAATGTATGTTATGTATGTAATGTATGTAATGTATGTAATGTATGTAATGTATGTAATGTATGTAATGTATGTAATGTATGTAATGTATGTAATGTATGTAATGTATGTAATGTGTGTAATGCATGTAATGTATGTAATGTATGTAATGTATGTTATGTATGTTATGTATGTAATGTATGTAATGTATGTTATGAATGTAATGAATGTATGTATGTAATTAATGTATGTAATGTATGTAATGTATGTAATGTATGTAATGTATGTAATGAGTGTAATGAATGTAATGAATGTAATGAATGTAATGAATGTAATGAATGTAATGTATGTATGGTATGTATGTAATGTATGTATGTATGTATGTATGTATGTATGTGTGTGTATGTATGTATGTATGTGTGTGTGTATGTATGTATGTATGTAATGTAATGTAATGTAATGTAATGTAATGTAATGTAATGTAATGTATGTATGTAATGTATGTATGTATGTATGTATGTATGTATGTATGTATGTATGTATGTTTGTCTGTGTGTGTGTGTATGTGTGTATGTGTGTATGTGTGTATGTATGTATGTGTGTATGTGTGTATGTGTGTATATATATACTATATGCACACACACACATGTCAGTTTGTTGCTGGAAGCAGCATGAGGGCGAACAAAGGGAGAGGAGAGCTACAGAGAGGGGACATCCCTTGTTGTTTTTAACTGTCAAGGAGCTCGAAACCGCAGTGAAAGAGCTGGAAACGAAAGTGAGCGAACTCTCACTAGCTCAAGACAGAGTGGAACGTCTTCGAAGATACACATCTGACGGATCTGTAGTGACAAAGCAGCCAACCGCAAAGAGATGAGTAGACTGAGTAGACAAACAACTCCCAAATGTTTCTATCGCGAAATAATTCTGCGTTTTAAGCGGCCAGGGTGGGTGTGTGGTGCCTTGTACCATTACCAAGCCCAGAGGCACTTTGTGCCACCTCTGATGACTCTTATGTCTAGTTGTTTTCACATTGTATCCAGACTGGATTTGAACATATTTCAGATATTTTGAGATTTGTAACTTGCTGTAAGTGTTTCTCGTGGAACTCCGGTTCTTGCAAAGATTTCAGCATCCTGAAATGCTACATGAGACTACTGTAGGTAGGATGAAATGTTGATTAGCCATGCCATGCACGGTCAATTCCTTTCAACTGGGACCGGCAGCACGAGGCGGCAATTCGTGGACTTGTTTCCAGACTTGGACCACACCCTTTATTTAAGGGCTTACGCCTGACAGCCGGGCACCGGCAGAGAAACGGCCTGAAGTCAGTGTAGGGAGCATGTTGTGCTCATGTCGAGGCTATGTTGGCCTTAGACCATCCCGGATTGAAGGGCCGCCCTTGAGTCCATGTTGGGCAGGCTGGGCCCATCTTGGGCCCATCTTGGGCCTATCGTGGGGCCAATGTTGGGCCTATGTTGGCCTATGTTGGCTCTATGTTGGCCCTATGTTGGCCTATGTTAGCCATATCTTGGCCTATGTTGGCCCTGTCTTGGCCCTATGTTGGCCCTATGTTGGCCTATGTTGGCCCCATGTTGGCCCGTCTTGGGGCCTATGTTGAGGCTATGTTGGCGATATGTGAGACCATCTCTGTTGAAAGACCTCCAAGATGCCAATTTTTCCTTCCCGGATCCGTCCGGGGAACCAAGAACCACGTAAAAACCACGGTTTTGCACTTTCGCCAACAAAAAAAAGTGCTTGTCCAAGCACGCAAAACACTGTACAGAACGATGTTTTTGTTACCTCACACGCACGAAACACCGTAAAATACGGTGACTTCAGTCGGTGAGGCTTAGCCCCATGCTGAAGAACGGAGCCGGCCTGCGGCCTGCAGCTTACGGTGCCTAACCTTGCTCAAGAAACTAGCTCCCAAAAGCTTCTTGCCTTCTTGCTTCGTGCCCCTTGCTGCTTGTAAAGGCTTCTTGCCCTTTGCTGCTGGTAATTTCTCCTCTGACGCGCTCCCCCTGCTGCAAGCGGGGTCAGCGGATATTATCTCGATGTCGTACTTTGAGGATTGTATCCTCTTTTGAATTGAAAGACATGAACCGAAAATGACACTTTCAGATGTTTCTCCGCAACACTAACTTTTTCCAACAGGATTCAGAAGAACCTATGGGGTTTTGCGACGAACTCAGTATAACTTAGTTTAGAACTATGGTAAATCAATAATGTGTTGGATTTCCTAGTCCTGTCCTGATTGTCCTGTGGGGCATTGCGTGCGCCATCGGGCTGCAAGCTCCTGCCTTCTCTGCTAAAGTGGTTTTCTTAGCAACCAACATGCGGCGTCATGCGGCTCTGGATGCTCGAAATGAGTATTCAATGGTATTCAATGTAGCAAGGTATCCTCTTCTTTCATTCTATTGGTTTCCTTAAGCCAACTCAGTGCTTACCCATCCTGGAACCCTTGCCCAGTATGAGGTATCGGCAATCATTCGCTTCAAAAGGGCTGGGGATGTGTGTACAGTACTGTAAGCTTTCCTAGAACCACTCCACTGTTACCATCAACATCCATCACAATCCATCACGATCCATCATAATCCATCACCACGTATTCAACGTATTTGGCGTCTTTTTGACTTCAGAGGTGAAGCAAGTACCAGGCAAGACCTATCGATGGCTCAGCAGGTGCAAATATCCTGCGGAATTGCTTGTTTGGAGATATCTGGAGACGTGCTTCGAAAAGTTGAGCTTGACATGTGGCATGTGGAGTTTTTAGATGTGGCAGGACCCAAACATGAGTTTCGGCACTTTCTTATTTGTAGGTAAAATAAACAACAAATTCCTAAGCGAGTCTTGAACTGACATGCCTGGGTGATCCTGGGTATTTGCTGTCCTCAAAAGTCCAGCATCAGCTTCAAAGTATTCCACGCTCCGTAGCCAGGCTCAATCCCACAGAAGCTAGATGAAGAATCATTGTCAAGCCATGTTTGCATACGTCTCCATTTGCATGAGATAGGCACAAGTTGAATTCAGTTCATCTCGAGAGATCACAACAACATTCTTGTAGAGACATCACTGCACGGTGATTAAACCAGGCACAAAACACGACTCTCTCTCCATTTGTTCAGACTTTGGTCCGTGCCATGTGCGCAGCAAGTGCAATACGCGGATGAGATGAACAGTAAACGGCCTACTACGCAGGCGTGAAATGGCTTGAACACATCTAGTCATGTTACATGATGCGCTAGCAACGCTCTAGTATCTCTAGTCGATGGTTGGGTAATCTGGGCAACTCACATGACCGGTAATTTTCAGTATGTATTTTTACAGCGCTGTTGGGCATGGCTTCGCTATTGGTGTCTTTTCTCTTCCTTTTTTCACTTGATACACATTTGACACGTATTCCCTGTTGCGTTGCTGTGCTCTTGACAGACTTTCCAGATTCTGAATACGACTTCAGTCGCTCGCTGGCAGATGTGTCGAAGGTTAGCAAAGCATCGTAAGAGCTGAATTTGGACACTAGGCCCTACTAGGCAATGCTGGGAAGTTACATGGAACTGTGAAATGATTCCAAGTGCGCCTAGTGCGTCTCATATCAGTTTCCTTGTTTGATTCAGGTGTCCATCATCAAAACCTGAAGCACCAAGTTTCAGGCTGCAACGTCTCCCCCATGTACTCTTGCCATGCGCCAATGCACCCAAGGCAATTTTCGATGATGATGACGAAGGACGAACAGAGATCATACAGTGACATACATCCCAAGAATTCACCATTTTCGTGCAGTTCTTGGTAAATAAGATGGCCTCTGCACTGGAAATCGCATCCGAGGGCTCTGGGGTGCATGGCAAGGTGAAACGCTTTCCGTTTTTATTTTTGAAGCTTGCCATAACTTGCCCATTGGTGTGTTGCTTGCGGCTGCCGTGGGTTTGCTATGTTTTGCTTGTGGCCTCGCAACTGCCAGGATTTGTTTCTTTCCAATCCGGGGGGCCTTACCAGAACAGCGACGATTCTGGAGGTCTGCTTCGAACCATTCTCGAATTTGTTAACCTGACGTTTCGCAACTTTCGGAAAGATCCTGTTTAGATTCATGCTGCTATGATCATATGATCTGCTATGCTATTTCCATCTATTTCCTGGGTCCTAAGTATTCAAGATCTGATTGATATGCAAACTTGCGCACCAGTGAGGTCACAAATTTTACTTGTCCTTTTGATCCCTTTTGTCTGAGCTCTGTGCCTGTCTGGGGTGGGTTGAGGCTTGCCAGGGGGGAAGTGCAGGGTTTCTCTCCGATTTTTTTTGATGGGCTTCAGACTTCAGACTTCAGACTTCAGATTTTGTGGTATTTGTCTCTTGTTCGTATCTCCTCCCAAGAAATCTTGATTCAGCGGAAGATTAAGATTGTTTGTTCCATGGGTACAAAGACAATGATGTCAATCGTCTTGTGTCGTAGTGGTGCAAGAGGGTTGTGCAGGAGTCTCCCAGAAGAGCGTTTTCAAACAGTGGTCTACAAAGAATGTGGTACAGGAGGAGCCAATAGGAGGATTATCGTAAAAGTGTTCTACAAGAATGTTGCGCAGGTCAAGTTAAAAGGATTTTGTAGAGAAGAATTGTACAGGAGTGCTGTGGAGGGTTTTAAGGTTGTGAGAAGACCAAGGAGGGAAAGTGGGGGGCAGTTGGCTTCCTGTTTCAACGCGAACCGGCATTATTTCCCCATGTATGTTTATCTCAATGTTCTAATTGTATTTCCGGAAGGGAACCTAGTCTGACACAGGTACGAAGACACATTTTTGGCTTCAGTCAGTCTCTGGTGCCACCTGTGGCCAGTGCTAAACCCCAGGAAGGGCTGTGCCGAACAGAGAAAATCGGAAATCTTGGAAACAAATGAAACCAGCAATGACCAGCAACGGTCAAAACATCCCAACTATCACCCTTCGGCACACTTGCCGGTCACGTGGTGGATTCATCCAGTCACTGCGTCTTTTTATTTCAGTGGTCGTAAAATGATTAAAGATTAAAGTGTCGTAAATGGAGATCACAAGATGTCTTGATGTTTGGAGTTTTTGCAGGCAGCCGACACCGTTCAAAAGGATTCTTGGCAGCTTTGCCTGCGGCTTAGTGGGGTTTTTGGGATAGGGCTCAGTCGAGCTTGGTCTCAGGCTTGTGGGATCATCTGGGATGCTTTGAGGATTTTGAGCCTTGCAAAGTTTACCCAAACTTGGACACCAGATGTGGCCAAAATCTGGGCCCGAGGTTGATTCTGAATCTTTATTTCGATTCCAGTGTGGCATTGTGGCAGAATGTGCATCTTGGCTCCAGGTCTATTGAATGTCAGAAAAGAATAGAAAGATCAATTCAGAAAGTTGTATTTGTGAGCCAAAAGTCCTCTCAGGATTTTGGGTCCACAGGACTTCCGCCGAGTCACAAGTTGATGTTGCTTTGATTCTTTGTGGGTTTGGTGCGGAAGGTACAAAGATGCACAATTGAGTCGTGATGGGCCGAACTGTAAAGCAGTCCATGATGCTCGGTGACAAGCAATCAGGGCCAAAGAGCAGTTGAAATTGTCACATCGTTTGGAAGATCTGTCATGACTCTTGTCATACTGGAACTGCCTGCATGTATGGCATGGCTGTCGAACCCAGGACTGGGTGTTCGAAAACCGAGAGGGTTGCCCGGAAAGAAATCGATGACTCAGTCTAAGGGCTTCGGAAATTTGATTGAACTTGATTCAGTAGCCGAGCTGTTGCGCTCTTGTACAATCTGTTGTCAATGCGACAGGAAAATTCAGCTGTACTCACTACTAATCATTCAGCCCATCTCAGCCCTTTGTGCGAAACCTCTCAAAGACTTATCTCGGGCCCCGTGTGAATCGTAGGTTTGGATTGCTTCTGCCTGCCAAGGCTTTGCTGCACGGGCTAACAAGACATTCCACGCAGCTCCTGGTTGTCCAGCAAGTATCGTTGAAGGTCTCAAAAAGCCACAACAGGCGCAATATGCAGCAGCTTGTTAGAGTGTGCAACATGGCCATGGCATCCTATATCTGTAGTTTTCCCGCAATTTCGCATTTTTCTTATCTTATACGCCTCTATTTTCCACGCAAATCTGCTTCCTGGAGAAGAGTTTGAGAGAGAGAGAGAGAGAAGAAACTGGAAACGGTAACTTTTTGTCATTGAATATCATCTCACAATTCCCAGGCAAGCCTCCTCTTCAGACGCCTCAGCGTATCTGAGGAGGCCATGACAGCCATGGCACTCTGCCACGATTGCTGGTCCTCTTATTGTCCGGCCCAATCAGCTCTTTGGGCCCATGTGGCCTGATTGATCAGGTTATGCGAGAAGATCGGCTGTGTTCATGGCAAGCATCCAGCCTTCATTACTGGGGTTGGAGGAAGTGGGAGCAAGGGATTGTCAACATTATTTTGAGATATTTTGAGTGGATGATTTCTATTTGAACGTGCATAGCTCCGGGAAAATCAAGTTTTGAAGGTTGATATTTGCGATGATATGCGTATGAGTGCATACATGACATACAGATGGTTTTTTCCCCCAAACAGTGTTTCCACACTGAGGGGTTCTTACGTTAGGAGTAAAGGCCGGTGCTTGATCGCTCACTCTGGGCCGCGGCATTTTACCTGTAAATTTCCGTACGAAGTGGCTCTTGTGAAATCTTGACATGCAGGCTCGCACAAAGTGTTCGTCTGCGTTCTGGGCTCATTTTGGCCTGCGGCATTTTACTTGTAAATTTCCGCATAAAGTGTTTCTTGTGAAATCTTGACATGCGTTTCGACTGCGCAGTCTCGCACAAAGTCTGCGGCGCGGGTCTGCAGCATATTACCAGTAAATTTCCATATGAAGTGGCTCTTGTGAAATGTTGACACGCGTTTCGACTGCGCATGCTCGCGCAAGGTCTGCGGCGCGCTTTTGGTCTGCGGCATTTTACATGTAATTAAATTTCCGTAAAAAGTGGCTCTTGTAAAATCTTGACATGCGTATCGACTGCGCAAGCTCGCGCAAAGTGTTCGTCTAAGTTCTGGGCTCATTTTGGTCTGCGGTATTTTACCTGTAAATTTCCATCTAAAGTGGCTCTTGTGAAATCTTCACAAGCGTTTCGACGGTGCAGGCTCGCACAAAGTCTAGGGCGCAGTTTTAGTCTGCGGCATTTTACCTGTAAATTTCAATATAAAGAGGCTCGCACAAAGTGTGGTCCTAGGTTCTGGACCGATCAAGATCATCACCATCATCATCATCATCATCATCATCATCGCCATCATCATTACCATCATCATCATCATCATTATCATCATCATCGCCATCATCGCCGTCACCATCACTGTCATTGCCATCATCATCATCATCATCATCACCATCATCATCATCATGATCGCCATCATCATTACCATCATCATCATCATTATCATCATCATCGCCGTCACCATCACTGCCATCGCCATCATCATCATCACCACCATCATCATCATTACCATCGTCAACACCATCGCCATCATCATCATCATCATCATTTATCTCCCCCAACATCATCATATTCTACCTTAGCATCCTCCACTTCATCTATCGCATTGTGGTCCTCATCATTATCTTCATCATCGTCGTAATCATTGTATTCATAATAATAATAATTTAATAATTTAATAATAATAATATTTAATAATATTTAATAATAATTCAAAATCGTTTTCACCACCACCACCACCATCATCATCATCACCATCATCTCAACATCATCATCATCATCATCATCATCACCATCCATCATCATCATCATCATCATCATCATTGCCGCCATCATCGCCGTCGTCATCATCATCATCATCACCATCATTATCAGTATCCTCACCATCATCATCATCATGATTTTTCCTCCTCAACATCATCATCTTCCTTCTTCTCTACATCATCATCCTCCACTTGATCTTCCGCACTGTCATCCTCATCCTCATCCTCATCATCATCGTCATCATGATTATCATCATCATCATCATCATCACCACCACCATCATCATCATCATCATCGTCAACCTCATCATCATCCTCACCGTCAACATTATCTTTACCGTCATCATCATCATCATCATGATCATCATCACCATCATCATCATCATTATCCTCACCGTCACCATTATCTTGACCGTCATCATCATCATCATCATCATCTTCTTCTTCTTCATCATCATCATCATCCTCACCACCATCATCACATCCTCCTCCTCACCGTCATGAGGATCATCGCCATCGTCATCATCATCATCATCATCACCATCATCATCACCATGATCATTACCATCATCTTCACCATCACCTTTATCATTGTCATCGCCGTCACGTCTATACTGTATGTACACTTATCTGCACAGCCATCAGGCACATCATGCGACAAATGTAGAATCATGCGGCCGGAGCATCCATAGCGTACTCGGAGACAGTGAGGGGCAAATGGGAGACACATGGGAGGCAAATGGGAGACAAGTGTAGAATCATGCAGGTGAGTGGGAGACACGCGCGAGACAAGTGTAATAATGTACGCCCAGGCGGCCCAGAGCACCCAGAGCGTAGTCGGAGAGCATACCAGGAACGCAAACCCGGAGACAGAAACAAAATCATGCGGCCCAGGAATGCAACCCTTTCAAAGGAGTAAGAACCCCATACAGGTAAACCAGTTTTGGGAAGAAAGTGGGCAAAGAAGAACCCTTGAATCGCCATGGCACGGAGGAAAAGAAACAGCAGAAATGAAAAGTTCCGATTTGGAAAGGGTTGTTTTAACGCTTGCGGTCAGACTGGGGGAAGACCAAAAGGCATGACTTAGGCATGACTTCTTGATGTTGCGTTCACAAACGGGGAAAGCAAAAGGAATGACTTATATAGGCGTGACATTGTTGGGTCCCTGTAGCGTATAGTAGTGTAATGTAATGTAACGTAACGTAATGTAATGTAATGTAATTTAGTGGATGCATGCATGCTGTACTGGTATGTACTGGTATGTACTGGTATGCAATGGTGTGTAATGTCATGTAGCAGTATGTAATGTTATGTAATTTTATGTAATGTAATGTTATGTTATGGTACTGTTTTTCATGTATACAATATACACATGCTTAGTGTAGAAATGCAGCATATTCACATACATAACATCTATGGACCCGATTATATATAGTATAGGGACAACATTCGTCTGTCTGTTCTTGGTTTGAAAGCGTAGAATTTCCTCTAAAACCGGTGACACGACTGGTGGAAGCAGTGCTTTTGCACAGTCACAACCAATGTGTTTGAAAAATACAGCGGCATCGCTGAGGCAGTTGTTTCTTTGCCAACTGCGCGCCTGAAATGCAAGCCTCAGGGCTTCACAAAAGGCCCGCAGGACTTCAACGCGCAGCAGTGTTGGACTTCTTGAGTTTGACACGCGCTGAACAGTTAATTCTTGATGCGAGATCTGGCATACGGTCATATTTGGCAGGCTGTGCGCTATCCTTCCAGGCCACGTGTGGCCTTATTTTGCATCTTGATAGCAACTGATAACATTTTTGGTGCGTTTTGGAATCTCCTTTCGAGCATCACTCCGGCACTATGACTCCAGTTGTCTGACCCGAGGTATTACTGCCTGGACCCAAGATGCTCTTCCTATCTCTTCCTATCTCTTCCTTCACCGAGAGACTGCACATGCCACCTGATAGTTTTTCTGTCAAAGCAGGGATATCAAAACACCACTTGAGAAGATGTGGTTTTTGCACAAATCATCACAAACTTGATTCAATGTGTTTGGGACTGAGGCTACAACTACTGGGCATCTTGGATTCAAAAACTGCAGCCGTGCAGATTGATGCGTGCTCACCCACGAAGTGTTTCTATTTCACTGTGGTTGCAACCGCTGAGTCACGGCAGGAAGGGAACATTGTGATGGGACTGCAGCTATTGTCACAGACAGAGTTTGCAAGTTCCTTGCGCTTGCCGCTTCGGGATCTGCTGAATTGACGCCCGAACAGCGGATACCGCATACCCACCTCCACGCGCCTCCGTGCACTGGTAAGTACTAACTTAAGTTGTGTGTCCCTCGATTGGAAAGGTTCCGCCCAACTTGACCTCCGACACCATGACCAAGTTACGCACATGTGGCACACGCACGTGGCACACATGCCACATATCTTGGTCTAACGACCACTCGCACACCTTCAATCACCCCTGGCATTTTGCCCCAACGTCCCCTCCTCACTTTCCAAGAACAACTGTGAGCAAGGGCTCTGACTATCGTCAATGACGTCAATGTGTGGCAGTAGGTGTGTGCTTTTCTTGACTCAAACATGATTGTGTCTCTCTGGCTATGGGATTTCACCTAATTCTTGAGATGGCTCAAAGCCTTTGATGGATCTTCCGTTTTCGGAGTGGAGATGAAGATAATAATAGTAAGAATATTTTCTTGGTTGTGGGCAACCAGACACTTCACGACATAGTTCCAGTCGAAAATTGCGAGGCCTACTCAACATCCCACAAAGTGAGTTTGATCAACGACAATACGAGCTGAAACCCTGCCAGTTTTGTGACATCATTGGCACCGCTCTTGTAATTGAAGGCCAACAGACTGAGTTCCAAGGACCGTTTACTTTGTGTCAAACCAATTCTGGCCTGAATATTCACTCACCAATCATACAAGTGAAACCACAGAAGATACCAGTGTTCATCTGAGGTGGGTGGCGAACAGCTCAGCTGCCCTTGGTTTGGTTTCGGCATTGCGTGTCATTGTGTGTCATTGCACGTCCAATTGTGGCGACAGCTTGGTTTCCAGGAACTCTTGGGCCCAGGTTTGGAACTTGTCAAGGAATGTTTTAACCTTGGCCGGCTGCTGAAATTCAGCGCTGTAGGCCGGTTTCACTTTGATTGACACACGCACACACACACACGCGCACACACACACACACGCTTGCACCCCTTTTTTTTTCTAAATGTTACTTGGCCAGTGGTTCGAATTCTAAATTATCATTGTTTCCCGAGAGCGCCTGAGCAAAGGGTTCTTCTAATACTGGGGGTCTGTCAAACATTTTCACATATTCACATCTTCACATGACATCTTGAAATCTTCACATTGTCTCATGCTCACATCCTCACATCTTCACATCCTCACATCTTCACATCTTCTCATCTTCACATCCTCACATCTTCACATCTTCTCATCTTCACATCTGCTCATCTTCGCATCTTCTCATCTTCACATCTTCTCATCTTCACATCTGTTCATCTTCACATCTTCTCATCTTCACATCCTCACATCTTCACATCCTCACATCTTCACATCCTCACATCTTCACATCTTCTCATCTTCACATCTGCTCATCTTCTCATCTTGAAAACTTTACATCTTCACATCTTTACATTCTCTCTTGCCCTCTTGCTCTCTTGCCCTCTTGCTCTCTCCTTCTTTTCTATTTCTCTCTTAAGGCGCGGGGCAGTGCCAACCAGACGGCACGAAACACAACCCTTTCGCACGAAATGAGGTTCGATCGCCAAAAACTGAGGCGATTCGCACGCGTCCGGTCGCAACCCTTTCGCACGAAATGAGGTTCGGTCGCCAAAAACTGCGGTAAAATTGCGATTTGCACGCGTCCGGTCGCAACCCTTTCGCACGAAATGAGGTTCGATCGCCAAAACCTGAGGTAAAATTGCGATTTTGAAGTGTCCGGCGCAACCCTTTCCCTTTTATGTGTAAAGGCGTCTGTGTGTAAAAGCGTCTGTGTGTCAAAGCGTCTGTGTGTAAAAGTGTTTGTGTGTAAAAGCTTCTGCGTAAAAGCGTCTGTGTGTAAAAGGGTCTGCGTGTAAAAGCTTCTGTGTGTAAGAGCTTCTGTGTAAAAGCATATGTGTGTAAAAGTGTCTGTGTGTAAAAGTGTCTGTGTGTAAAAGTCTCTGTGTGTGAAAGTGTTTGTCTGTAAAAGCGTCTGTGTGTAAAAGTGTCTGTGTGTAAAAGCGTCTGTGTGTAAAAGCGCCTGTGTGTAAAAGTGTCTGTGTGTGAAAGTGTTGGTGTGTAAAAGCGTCTGTGTGTAAAAGCGTCTGTGTGTAAAAGCGTCTGTGTGTAAAAGCGTCTGTATGTAAAAGTGTCTGTGTGTAGAAGCGTCTGTGTGTAAAGGCGTCTGTGTGTAAAAGCCTATGTGTGTAAAAGTGTCTGTGCGTAAAAACTTCCGTGTGTAAAAGTGTCTGTGTGTAAACGCTTCTGTGTGTAAAAGCCTCTGTGTGCAAAAGCGTCTGCGTGTAAAAGGTTCTGTGTGTGAAAAACTATACGAAGGATACGATGCAAACTATTGTGTTGTACTTGTAATATATTGTCTTGATACTACTCTTCTCGTCTGCCTATAACACATCTTTAATATATTGTCTTGTAATATAGTGTCTCAATACTACCAACAGAAGACCCTGCTCCTCTACGCTCTCGGGCCATCCGTCGTCTAGTTGTACCACCCCACTGTTTGCTCTGAACGAACCCGTTTTTAGTTTCAGAACTGCTTTCAGGTATGATGTTTGGTTGTGGTGCGGTCTTCAGCTTCCTAGCGCAGGATGCACTTTCCCCTGGCAGTCGCTTACATGAAAGTGGCAACATTTGCTGTTCTGGAAATGCTTTTTTGACGCAGCAACAGAGCGTATTCAATTTCTGTATTGTGAGTATTGGCAGTGACACTGCGCAATCAGAAACTGATACTTCCGAAAAAATGATGTGCTGAAGCAATCTTTCAGAAGATGCTTTCAGCATGTCTCAGCATGTTTCAGCTGTGCCACACTGCGGCTTTTTGCATTGTGCTGGGCCAAGGCTATGCGCTCTACGCGCAGCTGCTTGGCCAAATAGAATAATCCTCGTGGACGCCCGTGAGACACCGTGAGACCTTGACAAACGTTCATCTAAGCAAAGCTGCATAAAAGGACAGGTGTTCCTTAAAGCTTCGCTTGGGTGGATGCGAAAAGAAAACACACAGAGTGAACCGTCCATGCTTTGAAACAGACCATTGAGAGGACGCCAAGTACAATGGGTTTTGGGATCTTTAGTGTGGAGACATGGACATCGGGTTATCGGGTTTGAGCTCCACGTTTGAGGTCAGGTGTGGTAGTTGTTCCCATCATTTGGAGACTCATGCTTCTCCTCTGCAATTGGCAGGATGGTCTAAACGCATGAGTCTTTGATACTTCGCATGCCTGCAATTCAGTGGTTGATTGCCCTTCTCGGAATGTCTCATATTGAAAATCGCAGCTGCTGCTGATGTCAAAGGGAAATGTGTTGATTCATAGTTGTGCATCGTGCAGGTTCAGGAAACCCTTAGCAGTGGTGACGTGGATCCATATCGGTCCCACAGCAGCATTCTGATCAGTCCTTATTTCACTTTTGATCAGAGGTTACATCGCCGGAGCTGGCTGGGAACAGGATCTGTCACAGGCGTTGTCATACCTTTATGAGGCTTGCCCAGGAATATCTTGTTATTTTCTGCTGCAGGGGTCTTGACTTCAGTCGTATCTTCTTGTTGAAGGCGCATCTTGACTGGCGCCCGCCATGCAAAACACTGTCTTTACTTGCGCCATCTTGCACCCTATGATTTGCCACTTGTACTCAATCATAAAATTTGTCAAGTTGCCATGGTTCCGCTGGCCTTTCCCATAGTTGACCTATGTTGACCTAGTTCCATCGTAGTTGACCCGCTTTTGTTCGCGCGATGATTTTCCTTTCCTTTTTTTTTTTTCTTTTTTTCCTTTTCTTTTTGTTTTCAGGTCTGGTGGGGCCTTGCCGGGGGTGGTACGCTTTTTGGCTTCCTTTGGGGCCCGTCTTGGCATCGTTTTGGCCTTGTTTGCTCTTCCTTATTCTTTGTTGAAATCAAAGAAAGGCTTGGCGCCCGCAAAATTGTTCCAAAAAACAATGTCCATGATGTAACTTCAGTAGCGTGACGCGATTTGGAGTCTCCACAGCGTTTGCAGCACAAGATGTGTCTTCAACAGCATGATGTGACAACAAGTCGACACCGTCGACACCTTTGCAATCGTTTTGACAAGCTTTGACCGAGGCGTGATTGCAATTGGAATTGTCGCCTACCGAGTTTCTGAAATTGATTTGGACCACTTGTTTGACGGCATTGGGCTGCTTGGCTCTGAAACTGTCGAAATTGCCACAGCATACAGATCATACAGGCCAGTTGCTGGCCAGTTGATGAAGTTTGAGCCGCCCTTATTTTGTGCCATTTTGCATGTCCTTGTCTCGTGTCGCTCTCGCTGTCATTTTTGGTAGCATGTTCATCGTCAGATCTATTTTCGGGCATTTCTATCAAATATGCGGGTCGCTTCTCGTCACTTCTGTGTCGATTTTTGATTCTTGTAGGCGCCACAATATTATATATATATATATTATATGTATGTAATTATATATATATATGTATGTAATTATATATAAATATGTGTGTGTGTATATATTATATATATATATATTATGCAAATGATGTTTTTGAAACCCAGCTGCTTGATCTGCTCCAGCTTCGGCCCAAGGCTGCTATGGGTGCTGCTGAAGGTCCTCATGGCTGGTTTGGGCTCCGTCATAGCGGAGCTTCTGCTGAAGCAAGATACTTCGTTGCCTTTCACCGTGCACCTTGGCAGCCCTCGAATCAAAGGCCATCGAACACTATCAATCACCATCAACAACCATCACTGGCCATCAATGTCCATCAATGGGAATTTGTCCATGACTTCTTCTCTGTGACTTGCCACTTCTGGGCAGCTTCATCTTTAAAGAAAGAGAGGCACTTGAGTTTCAAATCCGAGGCAGGTGGCATGCATATTGCCATCCAAAGCGCTAGCGTGTTTGCTGACCATTTGGCTGATTCCAGGCGTTTGGGACAGGAGAATTCATCAGTGTTGCAATCCTGATGTTTTCAAGTGTGTTCTGCTCAGACTCAATTGTTTTTCAGCTGCTTAGCAGGGGTGCATTGTTTGAACATGCCACTTGGCACTTCCACATTGCCTACTGTATTTACTGCAGTCAACCAGACGTAAGAGTCAGATCTCGCAGTTGGTGTTGGTGAAGCCCGACTTGTTACACTTGGTGTAGGTCCAAACTCTGCTTTGCAACAGTGAGGTCCCAGGTGTTGGAAGATTGCTGCGACTGCGACGAATGGTGACCCTCTAAAGCCGCTGTTAAAACCATTGTTGTTGCTTCGCCAGGCCCAGACATGGAATGGCCGAACCACTTGCCGGAAAGGCTTCTGCAAAGTGGGAGGGATAGAGCAGGGACTACGATTCTTGTCGATTCTTTGGATTTGAAGGGATGTGAGATTCCTTTGTTGCATCTATGTCATGTGGCGTGGTGTCAAGCAGAATATTTCAGCCATGTAGTCGAACTGGATATGTACTTTCAAAGCGGAAAGATTGTGTTCAGATCCGAAAGCAGTGTGTTACTGATAGCATTAAATGCAATGTATATGCTGCATCTTGGACCTTGAATGAGAAACAACATATTTGTCTCAATGCATTCAGCCAATGCATATGTGCTATCATTGCTATCTAGATTCCTGCAATTTGTAGTGTCTATAGCAAGATCAACAGGAATGAAAATGCTCAAGCCAGCGACCAATCAAAAGAAGTAGCTAAGTAGCCTTTTATCTCTGCGCAGTCATGAACGATCCAAGCTCTCGTTCTAGGAACTCTTCAGGGCGTGGCCATACGAAACGGCTGCACAAACATGCATGCAAACGTTGCTCATCATGAACAACTGCTGCAAGCACAAAATGACACATGAAGGGCACATTTTCTTTTTGGTCCCACCTTCAACCACTACTTTCCAAGTGTCACCGTAACGACGGCGAAAAGGTTTCGACCCACTGCCCAGCAAAGTCCAATGCCAACTTCAGGAATGGACTGCCGCAGCAGCGGTAAAAGCTTCCTAATCTTGGATTGGAGCCAGCCTGATGTCAGGTTCTGAGCATACGGAACTTTCAAGAACACTTGCCTGCATTTGGAGTTTGCGCGTGGTGCGTGTGAAGCTCTCAAACTATACTTTGCAACCAGCGCATTGAAACCCGAGATGCAGTAGCCCCGATCTCTGCGGTGCCGTTTGAAGGCAACGGGACTTCTTTTCACATCAGCTGCTCGCCTATTTCGTCGAAGACAACGCAGGAACCTCCAATTTGCAAACTCTTAAAGGTGCTGACTGGTGACAACTGGTAGCTGGAACATATAAATTTGCAAGTTCTGAGGTTGGTTGAACAGAGACCAAGTGATACTCCGATCGTCCGAAATTTGCAGTGCAACGTCCAGACAGTTCACATCCCCAGCTCCAGACACTTTCGAACCGAAGCGAGGGGTGCCAGCCATTTGCCAAACTGCGTAGATCATTTGCAGTACCAGCCCAGAGGAGCAAAAAATCATCGATATATCTGCGAAGAAACTGCACTCTGCCATTACTTTCCGTTTCAATGAAACCATCAAGATGCAACAAGTAAATGTTTGCAACTGTGCCAGCTACTGCAAGCCCAGTAGGAATACCATTATTGGAGGCGTATGTCTTGCCCCGTCGATCACCAAACATGCCTCCAAGACAAGCTCCAATAAAGGCACAACAAAGACACACAGCGAATGCGGCCGAATGCGGCTGTGCAGAAATGAAGATACCAGATACACAAAGTGAGATCTATCCACAGGAGGGTATAAATTCACGGTGTCCAGGGTCACAAATGTCATATCAGGTGAAACCTGCAGGTCTCGGAGCTGCGACAAAAGCTGGTCTGTCGACACAATCACTGTGTGCAGATTTGCAATCAATGGGTTGAGCACTTCTACCAAAAAGGTGGCCAAAGGCGCAAGCCACATGCCCCTCAAATTGCAGATGGGCTTAGATGCCATTGGAAACTTGTGAGCTTCTGCAAGGATGCGAAAAGTGCCTGTGTAGTTCAGATGAAACTTGCTAAGCAAAACAATTGCCACTGCAAGAGAAATTGTAGAAGAAGAGAGGAAAAACTGAATCAAAGCGTTTGCTTGAAATTTGCTGTCTCTCATCTAGGTCTGAACCTCGGCATCGCTCAACTACCCTTGAGAAAGTTGAAGCAAAACTTGCTGATGAACCCAGCTTCTCAAAACGATTGCATCGCCAAGGCCCTTGTCAGCATCAATCACAGCCACAGTATCAGCATGCTGTTTCAGCCATGCTAATTGCCTTCCTGTCTAACCATGTCAAATTGGAACAGTGCTCCGCAGCATCCAATTGTACCAAATCCGTGCGCAGAAGCCTCATAAAGACATCCACCTTTTCATCTCCGGGTGGCGTCCAGGCACTTGGTTTGCTATCTGGCAACGGAAGCACTTTGCGAATGAGGAGATTCCGGCGGAGTGCATCCAATGCAGAAGTCGGAACAGGATGTGACCGTGGCTTGCAAGTGGGAATGAATATGCTTCCTTTGGCTATGTGCTGAAGCACATTAGCAGGAACCATGTTGTGGACACCTTTGTACACGGGTCGTTGCAGCAAAGCACGAAAACCACAGCGAAAAGCCTGTACAACCGTGAGCTTGAAGAAATCAATCGTGGTCTTTGCAGCATGTGTCCAGAAACAAACGTGCTATTTTCGTTTCTGCTTATTCTTGCCTTTTCCTTTGCCTTTGCCCTTGCCTTTCTCTTCATCAGCAAAACGCACCTGCTTCCGGGAGGAGGCGCCACGTGCACTCGAGCGACCAGAAGAACGAGATAACGGCCGACGGCTCCCATGCCGCGACCCGGAACTGGATCTCCCTCTGGATTGCTGGCGCCTCCTGTCCTTCTTCTCCCGTTTCTCCGCCGCTCTCTTTGGAGCCGGAATCCTTTTGATAGATGTTTGCTTGGAAGAAGAAGCTGGCGCGATCTTCAGCTTGTGCTTCTCCACAAGCTCGGCATTGTTTTGGGCTAGAAAGGCCAAGGCGCTGTCATCATTCATCGTGATTGGTTTGCGACGTGATCCCCCAAGCTTTGCCAACTCGAACAAAGCAGGGGAGAGCACATCCTTCACATCCATGCTTTCCCATTTGGACTTCGCCTCAAGGACAGCTTGCTCTCACTTCTGTTGTGCTTGGTTCTGCTTGTTCATGCGCGACTGCACAGCCGGCCTTTCCTGCCGTACAAGGCTGTCGACAAACTGCACGGCCTTCGCGCTCATGGTCTGCCTAATGCCATCATCCGTGTGCCCGTGCCCTGCAAACCAGGCTTGCATCCTATCCTACAATTTCTGCTGCAAAGCTGGGACACTAACCGCTGCTTCATAGATGTTTAAGCACTGCTCCTGTGCTGACAAACAAATTCAAAACATTCCTCTGCATGCCGGGCTCTCATCACCTGCCAAGCCGCAAGCAAATCATAGTCATCCGCATCATCGCTCATACCTGCTTCGCATGCTACTGGCTTTGCTTGGGCAATGTATAGCTTTGTGAATTGCCACTTGAGAGAGGCCTCCGCTTCAAAGTGAGTTTTTAGCTTGTTTTCGGACACCAGTTTGGAATACTTCTCGTGCAACGTCCTTTGCGATTCCCGAGCTGTGCACATATGCCTGGATTCTTTGGCAAAATCTTCAAACACATATTTCAAAGCTGGGTCAACTCCTTCTATGTAGCGCTTTGGGTCCAGAAACCATCGGCTCGGTGCATCTGAAATCGGGCACGGGGTTGCTGTTGGATAGCCTGCGCAATTTGTGACTGAAGCATTTGCACTTGTTGGGTCAAAAGCCGATTCATTGTTCAACAGAAGCGCCAGCATCAGGCACATCATTTCTTCTCAACCGACCTGCTGCGGTGAAAGGTGATCTTTCTCTTGAGTGTGTTTGCGCAACTGCGGCAGCTGTTTGGAAAACTTGCCGGCCACGTGCATCAGCATGATCTGTGAAGCACGGAGCCTGACCTCCGATGGTACTTTTTTTGGTGCGACCCCAGCACCAGAAAACGTAGCCTCAAATGGGCTTCTGCCACCTAAGTCTGATCCACTCATGGCGAGCACTTTGAGGTGTGCACTGCACAACGGGAAAGCGACCAATCAAAAAAAGCAACCTTTTATCTCTGCGTGGCCATGAACGATCCAAGCTTTCGTTCTGGGAACTCTTCAGGGCTCACAAAATGACGCATGAAAAGGGTCATTTTTTAAAATGCATATGTGCTATTCTTGCTATCTAGATTCCTGGGATTTGCAGTGTCTATAGCAAGATCAACTGATAGCATTTTGGATGATTTTGCAATGACACATCGGCGTTCGTTTTCCCGACTTGGGGCAAGAGCTTACTGAACTTAGCAGATGTGGATCGTCGGCTGAGCTTTGGGGCCAACTGATACGGAGATGGCTTTTGCTTCACAGATTTTGGGCGCTTTAAGCACTGATGTGGTAGGAGCTCTCAGGGGATGCGCAAACTGGTTTGGTAAGTTTGGTACACATACAGAAGCACTAGAATAGCACGAAATTCACTAGATTTCCATTTGATATCACCAAGACTCACCAAGAACATCCAAAACAAGTTCCGACGATTTCCAACGAATTCTCATTGTCTCTTCAAGGTTGTGACTACATGGCCTACAGGTGGTGAACTTATTTTGAGCTAAACCCCACCCCCAAGTTGATGGTCGAGGTCCTCTGCATTCCTTTGCATCGTTTCCAAACTTTCGGCAAGCAAAACACCACCGGGGTTGTACAATAGCCCCGCTTCTATTCATTAAGGGAGGTGCCCCCGAAAAAGGGGAGTTGCCTTAATATCCCAAAAACGATCAGATGAAGAACAGCGAGAATGAATTATAAATTATACTGGTAGTGAGTACTGAATACGGTACTAAAATCTAAAATGTAGTAAATCTCAAATATCAGCGTATCAGCGCCATGAATTCTTCTGGCTGGATACTGCCGTTGGGGCCACCACAGAAACACGGATAACGGTTTCGCAGGTGGAGCTTGCACAGCACGAGAACAAAAAAATAAGATACAACGAGTTTGAGACACGTGATCCAAATGTATTTTGCCACATTCACATGATTCCAGTGCGAGAAGGGTAACGGAGAGGATTAGGTCCTGATGCCCAGCAGGAGTAGCATTGCCGGCTGCCTTCTTGCGGTGGTCGATCCCTCCCAACGAGCCTATGGTTGCCACGCAGCTGCTTGCGACATTTGTCGGAGCTATAGCGCTGATTGACCGACATCTTCGAGAAGCCGGACAACTGCAACATTTCGAGTTGAGTGTGTCTCTTGGACTTGAACTATTTCAATTTAGAGCCGTCAGGGCAGCCTCAGATTTGATGAGTACGGCCGTGCAACTTTGGAGTCTAAATGTGGGTGACATGAATTTAGATTTGCTTCTGAGGTTCGGTTTCATATTCTCCTACGTTTTGATGCTTTCTCATCATGGTCGGAGAATGTCAGTGATCAGTGCGTTTGCGGCGGCTTTGGCCGGGGCATGTTCTGTGATGCTAGTCGTGCGCTTCGACATGCAAGTGCATCCTGTCTACCAACGCAGCAGGAAAACGTGCAGCGTTTTTTCAGGCCAACTTATATTATATTCATTTGTTATTTCATGTTTATTTGGCATGCGGTTCACAAAAGCATCACGGTTCAGCCATTCTATGGCCTGGCCTAGTGGATCTAGTGGTGCTTACTGCCTTGGTTCATATTCCGTTTTTATGGAACGAGGCAGTCGCTACGCTTTGTGTCGGGCTTGTGCACAGTGTCTTGGAGTGCAAAGCCCGAGACCTGAGTCTGTCCGTTCATTCTTTGCACAAAAACAAGGACTTTCTTCTTTGATCTTTGATGTATCCTTGATAGCTCCTGGGTCTTCTTTATTTTTTGCTTTTTGATTAGCAAATTGCTGCAGTATTTGCCTGACTCACAGCAAATGAGTGATTCACCCATGCAGTCTGTGGGACACCACTGACGGTCCAACAGTCCAACAATGTCTCACAACATCCTTTGCTTGTCTTTGCTTTGCACGGAAAAAGGCATGGGTTGGGATGAAGCTCTTCAAGAGACGTGTGCTGGGTGCAGCGGGTGCAGCGATCGGCTTTTTCTGTGGCATTTTTATTCTGCCTTTGGCGATGGAACAGCTCTTTCCGGTAGAAGAGTTTCAGGTGGGGAATATTCAGCCCACCTTGGACCTTGATGGACCGTGGACATGTTAATCCTGAGTCATCCTGAGTCTGCTGTTCTGAAACCAGCGCTAATTGAACAGTCGACGTGTTGAGTAACCCTGAGGCAGCATTCGAACTGATCGAAGAGTTTTTGCCCAGTCTTCGCAAAGACGCTCTAGAGCTAATGGTTATTACGATTCAAACGCAGGTGGCGCTCGGATACCTCGGTGTTGCTTTTATTCAGTCAGCTCAGGTCCGCAAAAACCTTTTGTTGACAGTGGATCGGCGACATGAAACGCCAACGTCTGCTGCACATTTTGCACGACATGCCATCAGCTTCATGGCTTTGGTTGCAATTCCCTATATGCTCGAAAGAACACTCATGGAAAATGTGGGGCACTACACCTTTGCTATTTTTGCCAACAAGGTGGAAAGGAGTTTGCGAATACAAAATCTGTTTCCAACTGGTGAGACCCACCAACTTTGCCTCCTCTCGGCAGTCACATCCACGAATTTGACAGTGGATACTTATGCGGATCAGACGCTTGGATACGCTTGGATACGCTTGGATACGCTTGGATACGCTTGGATACGCTTGGGTACGCTTGACAATTTTGCACATTCTGCCTGCGCACTTTCCATTTGAAACAAGGGGCATTTTAGATTATGAGGCTTTTCATCAGGCAGTGAAAAAACGCGGGGGGAGAGAGAGAGGCTCCTAAGCGTTGTGTCTGTACATACACAATATCATGCAAATACATTGCATTTTGTATATATACATTTTTATATACACATGTAAGTGCACACATTACATTACTTTGATTGCGTTGCATTACATTGCATTGCATTACGCTGCATTACATTATATGTAGCTGTACATGGAGACATGGTGACATGAAGACGTAAAGACATGGAATCATACTGAGATACACAGATACAGGCATGAAGACATTCAAATGCACAGGCATACAAATAGACAAACATACGCACACATACACATCACATGTAGCACAGGTTGGTTCTGCAGGAAATCATCAATAAAAATTGTGACGAATGACATCAGCAAAGAGAGGCTGTTACTATATATAGTCACTATAGATTGGTTTAGGTAGTCCCTGAAAGGGGCAACACTTGTGCGTGCGCGTGTGTAATGTAAAACTTCTACTCGGTTTTCGTTGGTCATTCGGTAATTTGTTTCAGCAGGGGCGTGAGGCCCGTCATACCTACCTGACGCAACGAAGCTATGGTATGATGGGGGAAGGGTGAGCTGATCATTCACCTGTACCTGCAGATCTTGGCATGGATGTCGTAGACATAGCTTGCAAGATCACTTTGACAATTTCCTTTTTTCTGTAATATGGCAACCGGCTAAGCCAAGAAATTTTCAAACAGTTTTTCCAACTGACTTTGATCACTGGACTTCGATTTGATGTCACCTTTTACCTGTACCGTTTTCGCAATCTGTCAAGTTGAGAGCGATATGGCTTTGTTGAAAGGGAAGGGTCAGCTTCCATCTTATTTTCTTTTTCATTGGCTATGGCGATGGCAGCTTTCACTGTTTTCCGGGTCCTTTCAGTGACCTACTCCTGTCAGGTTTAAAGGGTTGGTTTTTGCACGTAAGATGCGCTCCACAACAAGATTCGCAATGACAATTCTGAGCAAGTGTGTGATTCATGCTGGATTCGTCAAGGTGTCATGAACCCTTCGGGGAATACCTTTCCAGGTAGGAATTTTGATCCTCCGACTTGATCTCTGACTTTACATTTTTCAACTTGGTAATTCGTTTAAGTAAAGTGAAACAGACGTTCACTTTTCAGCTTCTCACCCATCGGTCGACTGTGTGTTGAACTACTGGCCGCAGTTTGCGCACTCACCTTTTCTGAGATTGATCGTTATCTGAATAGCTGGCAGCCACGACAGCCATCCTTTTTTCAACTTTGCCCAAGAGAGTACGGAGCTCGACAGTTGCGTCATGTCATGCGACTAAGCTCAGGCTTCAGGACATGTCTTCAGGTGTGGCCACTTCCTTTTTATGTTATTTTGGTGAGGTTCAAATGTGCACTTAATTCAGCTGGGGACTATTGACAGCCGCCTATAGGGTTTTGAGTCGACAACCGAGGGCCTTTGAGCCTTATCACGATGTTTGCACTAGTTGATGGATGCATCATTCAATTTGAACTGTTGCTTACCCTTTACCTGACAATTTTGCTGCCTGGATGGGCACAACTTCGAATGGTCCTGAGCAGAGGTTGCAACCTATGTGGACTCCATCTCAAACTCAGGGGTGAGATTAATGCCACACAACAACAGAATGCGCTGCTCAACCAGCAGCTTGCAAGCCAATCCATGTCCCACATCCACCACCTTCAACAGCTACTTCATACTTCCACATCAGTCGATCAATCCTCCACAACCACAGGCATCTTCTCCAGAAGTGCCTGTCCAACCTGAACCACCAACACCAAAGGTTCAACCGGAAGTGCCCCCTTCCACTTCCCAATTCAACACGGAACACCGATGAGATGGTCCTAAACTACGTTCCAATGTCCAAGAGGATCTAGAGGTGGCTCTCAAGAAGTTCAAAGACTCTCAACCTCCACAATAGGCACCACCTCTGAGTCGGGATCCAGTCGGGCACCAATGTCGGGAGGCAGCCAAATTCATAAAAAATAGCATTTTTGCAGTGTTTTTGCGTGTTTTTGGGTGATTTTGGCTGCTTCCCGACAGGTCCAAACGTGGTGCCAAAAATTCGAAAATTGGTGCCCAATTGGGTCCCGACTGGGTCCCGACTAGATCCCGACTGGGTTTCTTCAAAAAAACACCTATTGGCAACTCAACATAAGACGTCTCATCGCCACCACGCACTGGCCAACGTAGCTCGGCCTCTCAGTCCACGCCCATCCAACGTGCGCTGATGGGAAACTCTACAGCCCCATCTCCACCAACCTTCGATCCGGCATGTCTCCTCACGGTCCCAGCCACCTCCAACATGTGGCTTACGGATCATATGCCCACAGGCCTGGCCGATCGAACCTTCCCCAAGTGGTTGAAAGAACTCCGATGTTCTGGTGATTTTCATCCACCATTTGAATTTTCGAGCTTTTCCTGCTGTTCCACTGGGTTAGCTTGGCCTAAGTAAGTGTAGCGCCATAAAGCCAAGTGATCCCGCCAGGCTTGATGCCCACAATCGTCAGATGTACCGAAATCGACAATAGAGCATGACCTAGTCACAAGCTGACGACTCAGTGTATTTCGGCCGAGTTTCTGTCATAGTCCGGTCGTGATCCTGGGATTCCAGGCTTCTGAAATGAACAACTGAAATGACCCTGACTTGAATCGGAGTATATATGACTCCATGATTTTGAGTTGAGTCGGAGTCCATGTGACTCCATGATTTGGTTTCCAGTAATATAAGTTGGCCCTTGAGACATGTTCATGTGGTTGGAACCCTGCTTTCAGACAGGCATTCTGAAGAATCTTTCTTTTCTTTCTTTGAGATGAAACTTCTACTTGATGTTGGGAAGCTAAGTATCCTTCTTCCCGCATGACCATTTGATTTGCTCGAATGAAATTGATTTGCTTGAATGAAATTGAGAATCAGGCATGAATGTAGTTTCATGACAAGTATCATCAGCATCATCTGGTACTGTTCGGCATGCACTTGCACTTTCTGTTTGACATGTACCTGTACACAGTATTTTAGCTGCGCTTTCTGCCGTTGCCATGTCGAAGCAGTCTCCACCTACCTACAACATCTATTTTGTTGGTGGTAGCTTGTCTCGATCTTCTGGCACCTTGTCTTCTTCCCCGCGCCCAGCGACTCCAGAAGTGATAGCTAGTGTGCAGGCTTCATCTTCGCATTTTCAACCAGATGTGTCAGCACCACGAAGACCCCCATTACCACCTGGACGATTTTCAAATTCGGCGCCTGTTGCAGCTGCAGCACGACCGAGATTGCCAGCTGCGCCAATTTCAGTTGCGCCAGGTCCACCTCGTCCGTCGCGTGCGCCCATCATTTTGAAGGAAGCACGATCGAATGCCAGAGATAGATCGCTATATCTTCTAGAGGTAGATCCAGGTCACCAGCTCATAGTGCTCATAGAGCTTCAAGCATCGCATCCATCAGATCTGAAAGACCTGTGGAAAGACTACCCGGCACTTGGGATGCCGAAGGAATTTGGCAAACTCCATTGTATTCTGTGCATGCTGTAGATGCATTTCCATCGTTTCCACATTCTCCGACCCAGCCAGTGACACCATTTAATGTGTTTCAGTCGAACCTCGGAGGCCTGACGAATGCCATCAGGCCACTAAACCTACCTCCACCACCTCCTCCGCCACTCAGCGAGGAGTTGGTGGGACTGAAAATCAGCCAGCTCTCCGTGCTTGGTTTCGAAAACACCAGGATGTTAACCATCCTATCCGGGACTCTATGCTCAAATATCTGGCTAGAGTTCTGGATGACTCTGGTATCCCATCAGAGGCCCTTACTGATCTCAGGATTTTGAATTATGATCCGCAATATCATGAGTCCCATGCCGAGGACTTCACCGTTAAAAAGTATTACATTTTAAGAGGTCAATTTTCGGCTAGAATCATTCCTGACCCTATTCGTGCCGCTCCAGCTTTGAATATTGCTGAAGTGATTCATGTTCAACTCGCGCACTCTACCAGTACTGGAGGCCTCAAAGGCATCCTAAAGGATGGTGCTATAGCACCCAGTCGCTTGCATTTTGATTATAGCCAATCATTTTTCAGCCTGGGAGCCAAAAGGACCGGAGATATCCAGTGGGACAGAGCTGAGCTTTCCCGCATTGTCCATCATGCCTGGTGCGCCAACAAAAATTCTTCTAATGTCGTAGTACTTGCTCTAGGCTGGGGCGATGGTCAGGTAATTAAGTCTGGAGGCGAAGCCGCTTGTCTAGAGAAAACACTTCAAGGGGGGGCCGTCCATCATAAGAGTGGTCGCCTCTGGGTGGTAAATACTCCACGCACAAAGTCCAGGGCTTAGCCTTTCAGATGGAAGCAGAAGACCCAACTGGTTTGTGAACTCGTTGCTTTCGTTTTCCCTGTTTTGGTCGGTTGTTTGTTTGGTTTTTTTCTTTTGAATCTGTGAATGGGTCCAGTCTGCTGAAATGGCAAAATTCATGTATATCTTTCTGTCCAACAATTCGTGCAAGGTACTGCTCGTCACCTTGATTTCCGATAAAAAATAGAACGTGTTGATTGTTTGTACCTTCATGTTCTGCATGTTGTCAACTTCGTTTTTACAATTCTGAATGTGATTTAGCCAAATCACAAGCCTGGACATCCCGTTGCGTACATTTGCACATAGACCACCACGGAGTGACTGTGCGTATTTGATCTGGTTTCTAAATTGCTTGTGTATTGCTGTTTTTATCATTCCAACAAAGCTCATAGACTTTTTTCCTAATTTAAGCCTTTTGATCAACTTGATTCGTATGATTGACCCTACTCATTTTAATAGTTTGGCCGAATTTTGTGACTCACCGCTTTGACGCCTCCTGTCTCCAGTGTGTGTTGCCATGTCATCGTATTGGAACCGCGGTTCTTCTTGGCAGCATTCCCAAGATCAGTGGCGTAACAGTTGGACTTCCCCTTCTGATCCGGGTAATTCATGGAATCAATCTGGCGGCCCTCAAGAAGTGGCCCATCCAGAAATTGATATTCCTAGCAGTTGGCAGCAAACATCCACCCATTTTGATGAGACCCCTGTTTATGGTCATCGTTTTTTCAGAGTAATCCAGCCAACCGCCTGGTCAAGAAAACGCGGCCTGTCAGGGACTAATCCCTTAACAGTGCCCATTGGATTGCTCACGCGCCACGGTGCAGCTGAGTTTGCTCTCAGAGCTCTAAGCGAAGGTCGTTTCGTTGGGATCGTCTGTACCAGATCCATTCCCGAGTCCGTGCTCCTGTCCCAGTTTTTGAAAGGATTACGGGACGCTCGTCACGATATGGATGCTGTTGCTGAAAGCCTGCATCGCAAGAACAATCCCAACGTGTCACCCCCCAGCAAAGTTGATCGTCCTTGTGATTTCATGCAACCATTGGTTCAAGTTCTTCTTGATGCAATCGCACAGGTTGCTCCTGCCAAGCAGGACACCGTGGCCATGAGACAGCTGCAAGACATGCAAGCGCAGTTGCACGCAGCTCAAGAAAAATTACGCCGTGCTGGTATGGAGGTGACACCTGACCGCACTCGACCTTCTAATGTTCCTTTGCCTGCTGCTGAAACCCCTGAACTCAATTCTGATGTTTCGTGTTCTGTTCCTGTTGACCCTCCCCTTCCAAAACGGCAAAAAACTCAACCATCAGCAAAGACCAGCGCAACACAGCGGTCTCTTCAGGCAATGTTTGCAGCATCTGCCCCGTCAGGAGCACCAGTTCAAGAAGATGCTGCCATGACAATGTCTCCGGACCAAGTCTTGGAGGCGAAGGCACCAAGCTTGCGATCCCACCCTTTGGTAAGCACCACTGGTCCTTCTGTCAAGAAGTGGTATGAATCGTTTGACACCGAAACACAACAGATGGCAAAAAAGATCATCGAGTTGCTCCAAGAGCAGCGCTACGGCAAAGAACGCCTTCAGACTGCCGCCGCGCAGTATGGGATCCCTGTGGGTGATGCTCTTAAACTCACCCCCAAATCCCTCATTCAAGTCATTTCAATTGGTGCTGCGATGAGTGCCTGACTGGCACAGGGAAAATGTCAGCTTCCACCACAGACAGTGATGGCTGACATAGCACTTTTAAGGAAGTTTTTCATTCGTGTCATTCGCCAGATTCCTGCCATAGCGAAGTCTATTGCAATCTGGGCATTGGGCTTGCTGCATTTAATTTGTCTTCATGAATTTCCTTCCTGCACAGTTCGAACCCAAATGTGGCGACGAAGACTCGCCACACTTGGTGTTAGCCCGTTTAATTAATTATACTTTCGCGTTCTTTGAGACTGCTGCGGTTGTATATATCAAGATGCCATTTCAAGAACCTACCACGAAATCTCCGTGGATTTACCATCAGCATGGTAGGTTCTATATTGGGTCTACGTCCATCGGCGCTTCAAAGCGTGAATTTAACCGCATGGCGAAACTCCGTCAGATTCGTCACAAAATGCCAGTGAGCACAGAGCTCGTCCTCCAATACTGGGCCAGACGCTCTGATTTTGAAATGTTCACTATCCTTGTGCTGAAATCTTTTGATACTTATGCCAAAGCCTGGACGTTTGAACATTTGTTGATTTCACATTGGCAGCCACCGTTGAATCACCCTTTCATCACAAAGATTTTGTTGCTGAAAGCCTGTGGATGGTTGCTCAAGATGCAGCACCATCATACGTATTTTCCTTCTGTTCCCTTGGGAGATAGGCTGTTTCTTCGTGTTCGTCGACGACTCAGTACATTGGGTTCAGTTCCTACTATTCATTCTTTTCAAGCTCAAGCTTGGAACACGCTGTTCTGTTTGACTTCACCAGGACGGTTGTCATTTGACACCGGTCGACGGTTGCGTACCGGAGAATTTCATGATTGGGAAATTTATGCGCTGTACAGGTTGGCTACCCATTTGGAGCAACCAAAAAGAGGGCAAGCTAGAAAGTTGTTAGCCTCAGCCATGCAATTTAGAAATCTCACGGTCCCCAGAGGGAATAAGCCGGTGAGTATTCAATTTCTTGCGCATGACTCATTTTCAAAAGCGGTTGAGAAGTTTCTCAGAGAGCATGTCATTCAATTCAAAGAGTTGGCGGTCCCTTTACACCTTCCTACTGCACAAATTCGTGAAGCTGCATCACCAAAACTATCAGCGGTGTTACAGAATTTCAAGGCATTTGATCACCTTGATCATGGCCATGACGGTTCTCATCTTTCTTGTTGTCGTCCACAGTTGTTGGATAAAGTTTCCCCACATATTCGCCGTGATGTACAAAGACAGTTTGGACTTCATGTTGCTGTTTCTTTGGAAGATTTGATTTTGCCACCAGAGTTGCGGTTGTTGCAGTATGCCAACGCCAACTCGACCTTTTTCCTGACCAAAAAGGACTTTTTCACTCGATTTCATGCACAAGTGCGGAGTTGTCAAAATACCATGGACTACCACCAATCGGTGATGATTTCATCGAAGAATTTTTGGAAACGCACTGGGTGTTACACACGGCTCAGCTTCAATATGCTCCTAGGTACACCAAACAGTTGGTGGTACGCCTCAAGGCCTGGTTGCCCAGATCTTAGCGTTATTCATCATGCTGATCATGAGGCTTACAAATTCACTCTTTTTTGCCCTTGTCTTTATTTCCAAGGAACATACAGAACCTGGAGTGACAAAGATTTATTTGAACCTTTTTCTGGCACGGCACAAGATGCTATGTCGGAGGTTTCTTCTGCGTTGTCTTCAAGGTTGCAGTCCAAGTACCGATGGGGAATTCGAAAGGATGCGAAATTACCAACTGGGTTCGTCTTCCTGAAGCGGAAGAAACAGTTTCTCAAGGGTCGTACTCTAATTTCGTATTTCAGGTCTTATTATGCTGTTCTCATGCAAGTTACAGCACGAACCATCGACTCCATGTGTGTACAGCTTTGGCCACAAACCTTTGGTCAACTTTCTGTTCCGAATATTTGGCGGGCCATACATGAACATTTCACAGTTGCCTCAGAAGAAATCACTTTTGATGTTATTAATGACGATTAGATTAGATTTTTTAATTCGATTCCACAGCATCGACTCCTGGATGCTGTTCATTCTCTGGTAGCTGCATGGAAGCAACATCATGGTGACACTGTTCTTTCTGTTGATGTGAGCCTCAAAGGCCCCCACTTACGTCGGGCAGTTTCGCTAAGCTCATTCTCCTGGTCGCAGTGTCCTTCCTGACCACATTTTCGAAATAGTTGCTGCTTCTCTCAAGTCAAACATTTTCTTGGCTTTGAATCAAGTTTGGAAACAGTTTCGAGGAGCGGGCGTAGGTGCCCACATATCACCGAGTTTAAGCAACCTTGCGGTCACAATTGTGGAAAGAACATGGGCATACACCTTTCGAGATGCAATCAATTCTCCTTCCTTGGCTTTTATGGGTTTACGATATGTAGACAACCGTTTTGTTTTGTTCCAGGCTTTTGGCCCCCAACCTTCTGCGATTACAGTCCTGGCTCACTCAATATTTTACGAACTCCCGGTCGAACTTGAGCCAATTGACTCCCAGGAATTCTTGGGGTTTTTTGTGGATCATAGAAATCGCACCACAAATTCGAGATGTGTACTCCGCTGGCAGTCTCCGTCTTCGGCTTTCTGGCTTGAGGTCGAGAGCACATTCGATCACAAGGTACACTTTTCCATGTACAGATGTACCCAGATCAATAGAGCAGTTACTTGCTCTATATATCAGAGGAAAGGTTTTTCATACAAAGATTGCAAACGTGCACTTCAAAAAAGTTGCTGTCACTGCAGTCAGGGTGGTGCTAGGTTAGACTCTATCTTTCAGTTTCAGCCTGCACCCTGACTATTGTTCGACTTCCCGGTGGGTTCTTACCCACCGTGTGTGTGTCTAGCTCTGTTCCTAAGAGTCTTTTCATTTCAGTGCAGCGCATTCTTCCGTAATTCATCAACAGGGGGCCCATGAGCACTTGGATGGCATGGGCCAATGAAGACCCATCCAAGATGCTGTGAAAACGTACCTGTTTGCATGCACGATTTTCATTGGTTCCATGCCAACACAAATTTGTGACACGTGTTGTTTCTTCCCAGCTTGCCTGTCTTCCAAGGGCAAGGACGGCATGGAACAATTTTCACAATCTGAATAGCATGGTGGCTAAGCTTACAACCACCCTTGCTCATGTTCTGGTGATTTTCATCCACCATTTGAATTTTCGAGTTTTTCCTGCTGTTCCACTGGGTTAGCTTGGCCTAAGTAAGTGTAGCGCCATAAAGCCAAGTGATCCCGCCAGGCTTGATGCCCACAATCGTCAGATGTAACGAAATCGACAATAGAGCATGACCTAGTCACAAGCTGACGACTCAGTGTGTGTGTGCGTACCATCTGAACAGATGTAAAACTTCTTTTCTTGCAGGTGGAGTAGCACCATTGCAAGTCTACTGCCAACGACGACACTTGCAATCAGTGGTGATACCAGACTTGATCAGTCTGGCGTACCTGCACTATTTGGGTCTCTCATCTTGTCCAATTGCACGTTATGGGGATTCAGTTCCCGACGGATCACTCTAATGATTCAATTCTTTTCTAGTGTGTGCGTGTGTGTGTGTGAGGTTGTGATGTTGATTCTTGGTACTGTACACTTTCATTGTGCAAGCAAAAAGTTTTTTGCCTGTTTCACCATGTTTCACCCCTAATATGATTTTGACACGCTTTGGTTTTGCGCGGTCAGGATCAACTCTGTGGTTGCCTCGACCTTTGACATTGTCAAGCGGGAAATATTTTCTCTGCCAAAACTGGCATTTCTTCCTGGAATTCTCATCAGCAACCCACTCTTGGTTTTGCTGCTTCTGCATGCCAACATAGGTTTGGATTTTGCGCGAGCCAAAGTGATTGGATACTTGAACGGTCGTGTCTAGATGACTTGGATCATTTTTCCATTGTGTTTGGAACCAGAAACCGCAACAAAAATCTAGGATTCCGACATATTCTAACAGGCAATCCGATATTGGTGGCAAATTTTCAGCCATGATGGGACTCAGCCAAGGCATTGAGATCTTGCGGCGGAACATCCAAGACCTCGGCTCTCGCCGAAGCGAAGTCGAGCAACACGACACCAACAGTGCAGAAGCTTTGCTTCGAGTTGGGGCGACACACATTGCAGAGGCTCAATGGCGCAAAATCACTCTTCAACTCCAAGAGATGACACTAAGGTTGGGACGGGCGGGTTCAGGATTTGGCACACCAAAGTTCGCCGCCAATCTTCGGCTAGTCGCCTTGATTCAAGATAGGCTTAAGCAGTTGAGTTGAGACCAGGTTCAGTCGGGATGCTGTCGGATGATACAGAACCTTTTATTTAATGATATTGACTGAAATAATGTGTCGAGCTTGGCCCGAAAATGTGTGTCCCCATATGGGCGTTTAAGATTCACCAAAAAACAAGAAGATCAACAACGAATCAACGAAGCATAGCGGTCAGGTATCAAGTCTTGAACCTGTTCCGTGGCTTCATTGATCACCTCTACAAGCTGGACATTGTCGTGCCGGGAATCGAATGTGCAATGGCATACTTACTGCAATTCCAAGCCATCACAGCAGCAGATATTTGGGTCTTCACTCGTGTTGTGGAAGATGCCATGTTGTTTGTGCTGGTCAGATGGCGAGAACAATCCAAGTTGGAGACTTGCTCCAACAATAGATTGATTATTTTGTGAATATATTAGAACTTGACATGATCTTAGTCTTGGAGAACTTTCCAGTACTTTGCTCTCCTACTTTGTATCAGCGTAGTTAGATTACAATAGATTGTCCCAGGAAGCATGGTCCAAATACAAACCATTGGTTTATATTGGGTGATGTATACGAAACACTCAACTTTTCATCACCAATGGTATAATGGTCATTTCTGAAAGGAGGCAGACCCAGCCAATTATATACATAATTTGAGTTTGGTCATGTTTGCACGTTGAGATTGCTCTCCACTTGTTCCAAGGAAAATTTAAAAAGCAACGTTGGGCGCCTACGCGCATTGTCAGAGAATTTGGCAGCTTATGCGAACAGAACAAGGCACACATGTAACGTGATGAAATATGAAGGCACTCGCCTCCAAGAAAAGCGAAAAGATCTCGGCGATCTTGGCGTGAGGCTTCACAACTTCACATACCGCCGTGGCCATGTACGGGTCAGGTTCAAGGACATTGTCCTCAGGGCTGGCAAGGTGTATGCAATCACTGGTGCTAATGGCTGTGGGAAAAGCACTTTTTTTGCATTGCTCGCTTCGTGTGGACATTTTTCTGCTGCTTTGCCACCTGGCATGAGTGAAGTGGGTAAAGATTGGGAAGATGGATCTTTGCCTCTTCTGGATGACAGCGGTGTCATGCGGGGCATTGCGCTTCCTAGCGATGACATTGTTGAGATTTCTCAGCAAATGTATTGTCCTTTATACATTGAACCAATGACCTGGTTGCAGCGGCATGTTGCAGAGAGAGAAACATCTCCTCAAATTCCTCAACTCTTGAGCGAGCTTGACTTTGCAAAAGAGAGTAGTGGTGGATTGAGAGATTTTCACTCTGTGGAGACCAATTGGTATGGCAAGTTGTCGGGTGGCCAACGCTCCAAAGCAGAGCTTATCAGTCAAGTCTTCTTACGTCACAGGTGCCCGGACATCCTTCTTATAGACGAAGCTCTGGCACCTTTGGATGCCGATTCAAAGATCTTAGTCCAGCGGAAGTTGAAATCCTTTTGCAATGAGTCAGTGCTTTTGGTTATTCACCACTTGGATTCTCACAGCCGATGTGTATCATCTGGTGGTTTTTTTGACGACAACCTGCACTTTGAGAACGGAACGGCTTCGCTTATTGGCACTTGCCAGCCAGGAAGAGAGCATGAGGTAATAGAAAAAGAAGAGTTCGCGTCTGCTACTCTTTCTGCTGCTTTCACTTCTCCGTCCTTTCTGTTGTTTATGCAAAACTCTCTTGAATTTGTTAGTCTGTTAGTTTGCACAGAATCTTTGACATACTGCAATCATTAAATAATAGCAACAATAAGTATTGTAATCGTATGTCATCGTAATAATATGCAAATTGATCACTTTTTGTTAGGACTTGAAACTTACTTGCTTTATTTCTAGCAAAGTTCGCCGAGTATTTTCGTAACTTTTCACACCTCAAACATCCTCAAACTCTGCGCAGGCCTGGGGGCTTCTTCCACGACTGGTCTTTCTGGACGCCTCTTTGCTGCATTGAAGTTTGCTTCGTTAGAACATATTGTAACTTATTGCAACTTACTTAGCTACCATAGCATACCATAGCTTGATTCGTCATGCATGTATCAGTGATTATCAGTTGACCCAACCTGTGGACCTTTGGTCTTTAAATGTCTTTCCCGTCTTTCCCTGGGTTCAAGCCCCCCTCCGCGGTAGGACTCCGAGATCGTTACAAAGTACGTCACATGCATTGTGACAACATGTGACAATTGTGTGAGCTGATCTGCTGAAAACATCTGAAAACTGGACTAGGTATTCATGTAGTCCGAGAGGATAACTGACAGAACAGTGCTATGCATGAGAAGAAGCAACATGATAGCGTTGAAGGCAGCACTGAAGACATCATTCAAGACAGCATTAACGAGTGTCCAAATTCGCTCAGGTTTGTGATTGTGCCTGGGCTTTGAGTGGGTCGAACAGCCGGTGCTTTACAGTCGGTCGAACATGGCTTTATTAGTGGCAGATGGACCGCCCCCAAGGTTTTTCACAATCTCGGCGACACTATCATGAGTTTCTTGTGCTGCATAGTTTTGAATGTCCTTTGGCACTGTTGTATGGAATGTATCTTGTGTAGATAGCAGCTGCTTGATTTCTTTCAGGTTGTCTTGATTCGTTTTGCATGGACTATAAGTTCCAAAAATGAGTCTTGCAATAGGTGCAGCTGTGGCCAAACAGTTTGATTCGGTTGTAAAAGCTATTTGTGCGGCACTTAGATGCACTTAGTCTATTTGAGATGGAGAGTTTTCTGAGTCAGTTCCAAGCCTCCAAGCTCTGAGATTTGTTGCAACAAATTATTGTGGATATGTTATAACTATTGAATCAGCATTGAGGTGGAGTTGTGGGAATCATTTTCCCGACTTGGGTCAGCGCCCAAAGCCACTGTTGTTGAACTCCGTGCACCGCATTTTCCATCTTTTTCGCGGTAATATCGAACTATACTTCAAATATCTTCAAATCATATCAAATCAGCCATTAAAATACCCTGGTTGATTGGTTACTATAGGGACTTATACACCTATATAATTTACTGTGCATTATGATAACCCATACGAGGGAAACCTATCAACCAACTAGTATAGTGAGATGGGATAGGGGTATTTTCAGTGGCTCAAATGGATATTGTACATAGGGCCTGCTGAAGGGAAGCAGGGGCACAAGCCCGACATTCAGGGAGTTTAGGTTTCGATCAGCAACGTGCATAGAAGAGCTGCGTCGTATGCATGTCACTTCATGACGGATCTGTATACTGTATACTGCATGAACAGGCCACCGCCGGCTTGACTTGCTGAGTAGAGACACAAAAACGGCCTAGACATGCCTAGACAGCAAATTTCTTTTGCCTCTCCAAAGAGAACTCTCAAACAGCTACCATCTCCCTCGCAAAGACAGAGTCAGGTGCAAGACGTTTTTCAAGAAAGTTGCAAGTCGCTCCAGGTTGCTTTCAGGATCTTTCAGGCTTTCAGGTAGGAAAAATGTATCACGACCGTCTTGTTAGTGGAATCGGTCCCATTGGCCGTCCATGTACATTTGAGTGAGCTGTTCTGTAGGGTGATGTCGCATGTGACCAGATCCAAAAGCCCAAACTGCATCCTGCTCAAAGTGGCGAGGTCAGTTCTTTAAATAACGAAAGCACAGTGACCAGCTTGGAGCAACGTTCACAGACCTGCTCGGGGCGCCAATCAAGCGGACACGGACACGGGTGCCAGAAAAGAATGGCATGCAAACAAAACAAGAAAAAGGAAAAGTGAAGCTTCCAGGGAAACATCAGCGTTTAGAAAGAGCCAATAGTTCGACAAATGCACCAAATGAATATGTGAAGAAGAGACTTCAAGCACTTTTTAAACAGGACATCTCC